TCATAGTTTACATGAAAGCTAATTTAAGTTTGTAGTTGAATGGTAAAATATTTCTTGATTTGAGTGATGCGTCTCTAAGTTATAAAGGTTTATACTTCCAATATGCTTATAAGCATGACATCTATTAAGTCTTAATTAAATAAGAAATAATTTAATGGTTCATAGATACAGTATTTAAAAAGCATCATTAGTTTACTCATAGTTTACATGAAAGCTAATTTAAGTTTGTATTTTCAAAATAGCCAGCATTTAGTATTACTAGTTACAACAAAAACACTCAAATGCCTTACCTGACATCACCATCATTAACATTATTGGAAGTATTTAAGGGTTAGTTGCACTTCAATACTTAATACTTATATGTTTATGGGATTTATCCAGAATTTTATATGTAAATTATTATACTTACAGTATTTAATATATGTCCTGTATATTTTTTATAAGACTAGTCTAATAAAGACTAATTATTATTATTATTATTCCAACAGGAATTTCTTGAAGATATTATAAACAATCTACCTTGCATCAAGTAAGTACCTTTAATCTTATAAGCTGTATATTTTTAAACCAATCAAATGTAAGGGAAAAGGGAGAAAAATATTAAAAACAACCCTCATTGCTTTAAAAAAATAGAATCTACAAGGGGTGGATCTTAAGGCATCTGGGGGCTCTATCAAAACCCCTCAAGGCTGCATTCATAATGTATGGCAGAGGGGGGCCAGGTAAAATTAGGGGGGATGGGAAAAATTTTCTCGCCTTGAATTTTCTATTGGATTTGGTGATTCTATCCCCCACATAAACAAGCAGTGATGTCATAGTGAAATAGGTCAATTATTCAACAAGGAAATCAGCCAGAATAGAATTTGTTACAACACTCAATTTTCCCCCCTACTTTCATCTCTAGATCCCCAGAAGCACAAGCAGAGAAAACAGTAAAAAGTGAAGACATAAAAGAAAAATCCCCAAGCAAAGTTGTTGAGCCTGTTGAAACTAAGCAAGAGTGTACCTCAAGTGTTGAAGAAAACAAGTCTGTATCAAAGGTCATACCTGATAAGATAATGGATGACGGTTTTGATAATGATAGCGCTGGTCCCTTGGATCCTGCTATTGCATCTTTGAATTCCCTTCTGAAGGCAGGAGAGGATGAAGAAAGAGCTTTTTCACCAATTGGCAGTGAAAGAACATCACCTGATTGTGGTATGTGCCTATTAACAGCATGTCAGTGTATGCTACAGTATAGTATCTTTCTCAAACATTAATAATTCATGAGGTGAATGATTAATGGCGACTTTGCATTGTAGTCATGTGCATGCACCTTGATACTTGATCAAAAGCTGATCAAGACACTGATCAAAACACTGACAAATAAACAAATGATTGCAAAGGAATTAAGGAGTTTGAGAAGTCAGTTCAAAAACTCGTGCTTCGTGTTTGATCAGGGCATCCAAACACCTCGAAACAATAAAAGCCTACAACCTCATGCTTTCATCCATTTCTCGGTGTTTGGATGCCCTGACCAAACATAGAAAAATAGGTGTATACATGTATAGACCCCTTGTAGCACGTCGGAATGTCCCTCAATCTGGAGGACAAAACAATAGGTTCCAATTCTCAGGAGATTGGAATTCTTTTGTTTTGTCCCCCAGATGGAGCTGCTTTGACGTCACATGCAAGGGGTCGATACACTTGCCATTCATTAAAGGCTGGTAGTGAGATTTATGAGGTTAACTCTTCTGATAAACTGTTCAATAAACTGTTTATTACAGACAGCGAAAGTTATGAGGATATGTCTCTGTTTTCAATTTAAACAAGCTGAGAGCAATGGCCTTAATGTTCGATCTCCAAAACCACATTGTTCGCATTCATCAGGTTTATATATAACACTAAATACTTACTTGTTTACTCAGATGCAATGGTTACCAGTGAAGACATTGAGAAGCTTCTTGCAAAGAATGATTTCCAAGATGAGGGAGAAATCCCTCCTTTAGAATTATCACATGGAAGCAAGTTTGATAAAATGATGGATTTACAGTTTGGAGGAAAAAGTCTGGAAGAGATGACGAGAAAGCTTGATCAACTCCGATTGATGTCTCCCAAAATTGATATTGGGATAAACCAAACAGAAGATAATGATGAGGATTCGCTGCCTGTGAAGCGCAGAGGGGCAAAACCATCACCAGGGAAGGAGACACAAGACACTAAAGACAAGAAAGAAAATACAGAAGAAAAGGAAAATATCCCAGATGATGAGGATTTTTCTTTACCAGTCAAAAGAAGGGAACCCAAAGCAGAACCAAAGAAACAAACTGACACAAATGGTGACAGTGAAAAATTCAAGAAGCCTTTGCCACCCAAACCCTGGAAAACAAAGAAGGTGAAGATACCCAAAGAAGAAGACCCATTCATTGTGGTGTTACCTGGTGCTGGTGAGAGCACAGTGAATGGTAATAATGTGAATGCCGGTGTAGATTTGCCAAAAAATGGGTCATCTTTTGCTGAACCAAAACCACAGCCATCTGATAGTGGTGCTTCTCAAGGAGAGAACTCACAAGGGGAAAACACAAGTGACAGTGTTATCAAGAGTCAGGAAGAAACAGAAAAGCAGCCTTCATTAAAAAACAATGAAAATGAAGAAGGGAAGAACAAAAATGCTTCCGTTCAAGATGATGTTTTCTTAGAAAAACAAGATGACTTTGGGCTGGAAAATGATGACTTTAAATCATCTAGTGAAGGTAAGTATTATTACATTCAAAGCTCTTCTTGAGTAAATTTTGTTTCAGCCAATCACAGCGAATTCAGCTGTTTGCCGCTGGCCCTCATTTCCTGGCTACAGCCTGTAACCCAACTTTTGCATATTTTCATAATGCTTGCCTACAAGAAGCAGGATTGATGAAGGGAAGGATAAAAATAATTACTTGACAGATACAGTCTGCAGTTGTTGCTGTTTTGCTAGAGGAGTCAATGAGATGATGTCTTTATCCCAAACACCTGGTTATTCAGCATTCTTTTTACTGATAACAGTAGTTCTAGAGTCTAAATGCCTCCTACAGTTATGTAACTTTAACTAAGACATCACCCTTGAATTTAAAAATTGAAAGTAGTTTGAAAACCATAGAAATCATGCAGTGTTGGTTCCTTGGGTTATAATGAGAAGTGACCAAATAAAGTTTGTTTGTTTTTCCTCCTAGCTTTTTCTTTAGAACTGGACTACCTAGAGAAATTTGGCAATACTGATAACCTTGATAGATTGGTAAGTGATTATCTGCTCTATCCATTCTTCCCATTTTCTGTCCCATTTTGTTTGCTTCAATAGTGATCAAAATAGAAGATTGAGCGAATTTGGCCACTGCACACCTTTTTGAATTCGATTTCTGGAATGTCCATCATTTTCTCATTTCCTTTCTCTATTTTTTATATTTTTCCTGTATATACTTATTTCAATAAAGTTAGTCACCAAAAACCTAGAAAGCTGTGATCGCTGAGAATCATGGGGAAATGCTTTATATCCAACAAGTAAAGCTTTTGACACAAACTGCAGCAGTTGAGGATGCTCAGAGGAGGTTAACTCGTAACTGGTAGAAGATCTCTAGTCCATCAACAGTTATCAAGCGGTTGAAACATGTAAAATGTATCTATCCATAATCCTTGTCGGTCTCAGCTTTGTAGCTTTTCAGGTGACTAACTTTATTGAAATAAGTGTATCATTTCAAAAGGCAGCAATGAAATGATTTGAATGAAATGAAATAAAAGAATGAACACTAAAGCTGTAGGTTCAACTACAAATTGTTTTTGCGATTATTAAGTCCTGTTTACATGAATTTAAGGTGGCAGTTAGTGGTAGGGACAACGCCTTAATTTAATTTTCCCACGGCGGGATGTTAAAGACTAAGAGGCATATGAGCCCTTTCAGTGGCAAATAGTAGAAATTTCACTTCTCAAGAAATACAGAGTTCTCTGTGGATATGCCTAACGCTATGGATATGTTTGATAAACACTATTTTGCAAATGAAAGTCCAAGAATCTGGTTAAAAAAATTCTAAATTGCGTTGGTATATTTCCATTAAAACAATCCAGACATTCAATCGCTTCGATGAAGAAATTTCTTTAAAATCATCGCACTTTCTCCTTACTCGATTACAGATACGTGATCAGCATTGTT